GACAATATTAAAAAGTTCAGCCTTCCAAAAGGAGAATTTTTTCACAATATGCTGTGAGTTCATAAACTTATTTTTACCAAATTTATGTTATTAAGGAATCATTAATTAATGCTTGGGTAGTTTGGAGGACAAAACGCAAAGACAGGAATATTTTGTTCATATCAGTTTAAATATTCAAGCTCAATTATACTTCATGATAGATTTGATTGGAAATATATTACTGAAATAATGGATTCTTGTCGGTATTCTGTTTTATCTGCAGCTCTCAACAGAAAACTATCATCAATGCAATGGCTGTCAATGAGGAGGGTGTGATGGTTACTGGAGGTAAGAAAACAAGTTAAAAAAACTCTATTGGGAAAAAAGTTTAATAGAATAAATTCAACTAATCCGTGCCCAATTTTTCATGGCCATGATATTAGGGAGTAATGCTCCCTAATCTTGACTTGTTGCGTCATACTGAAGAATTTGATATGGATATTATGACCCTTGCATTAATATTTATGCCCTTTTTTTCTCCTGGTCGAAGGTGACAATGGAAGTATGTGGTTCTGGGATTGGAAGAGTGGTCACAATTTCCAGCAAGCCCAAACCATTGTGCAGCCCGGTATGCATTTTTTAGTTGATGCTATGTAGTTCTATCCTACCCACGAGATTCGCAAGTCTAACATTCTATTTTCTTTCCTCTTTCCCCGACAGGATCACTGGACAGTGAAGCTGGTATTTATGCTTGTACCTATGATATTACTGGTTCAAGGCTTATAACATGCGAAGCTGACAAGACGATAAAAATGTGGAAGGAAGATGAGAGTGCCACCCCAGAAACCCACCCTCTTAACTTTAGGCCTCCTAAAGACATCCGTCGATTCTAGACATTCTCTTCGTATCTCATCTCAGGCTATTCATTCTGCCAATTCACAGATTGGAGGTTCTGGTCTAAATACCCTTGTTGGGGGTGATTCTGAGTTCTCTTTTAACAGCCTTTTGTCGTCAATTTTGTATCATTGGATTGCTTTTAAGGACTATTCCTACATAGATCCATGTGTATCTTAATAGCTTTGCAATTTAGTTGAATAGACTCTTTGTAGAATTGAATTGAGTCATGTAATTGAGTTTTGGAGAAGTTAAATGAGAGCTTTAGATGAAGTTAAAAGTAGTACATAAATCGATTTTAACTCTGAATTTTTTTAATTTATTTTTTGATACGTATTTGCTGAAAAACTTAACTAAATTGGCCACTGACGTTGTCCCAATATGGGCTTCTTCATTTGTATAAATCTCTGGCTTTTTATTTTGCGAGTTTGGGATGACCATAATACAGTGTCTGATTAATACCATTATACCGCTGTCGCCATTGATCTTGGCTGGTGGTGTTTATGTTTTCCATCCTTGTTGAACATGTTGAACGAGTTTATATTGTTTAAACTATCTCAAACTAGAGAAATACATCTACTACTCTGAAATATAGGGTTTGTTTTAATTTAATCTAGAAAGCATTGCAACTTAATTTGGCCACCAACTCTGCGAATGAGGAAGTTGAAGCGCTCTGAGCACTATACTAATTTGGTGAACAATTTTAGAAATCTTGAGCTTGAATTATTTTTTTTTCAATGTGTCACTCGGTTCATTTTGTAGTTTACATGGACCTTTGTTTTTGAACTCATGTTGCTATTTCATAGCATCTGTAGATAGGAAATTACTCTTGTACGAAAAAAGTGACATCGTTTATTTAAAACAATTCTTAACGATGACAGTTAATACAGAACTTTTTTTTTTTCAAATCAAATATTAATTCTTGGGAAGGAATATAAGGTTTTATTTTTTGAATGTGTACAGCGATCTGTATCCTCAGTTTGTTCTCATAATATCCACTGGGTACGAATGAATTGTATCCCTCCATGCAGTGGAGGTGTCTGGCTTCATGTCACAAACACATTTCCACACTGCACTGTTACACTTGAATCCACTTCCAAAGGCAATTTGCCACACTCTGTCCCCACATTTCATCCTCCCTTTTGCTTCTATGTAGCTCAGCTCATACCAAATTGAAGATGATGAAATATTTCCAAACCTGTAGAGAGTCATGCTTGATGGCTCCACGTCCTGTTTCCTTAGCCTTAAGTTTCTTTCAACGGCTTGAATGATGGCTCTTCCCCCTGAATGTATGCAGAAATGCTCAAAAGCATGGTTGAAATTTGGAGTGTAGATGCTTATTCTTCCTGTACTCCACATTTTTCGACAAACTATGGAAAATAAATACAAGAATTGCTCCCTCAAAGGCAGAACCAATGGTCCTAGTGAAGCTATATTTTTCTTCAGTGCATCTCCAGACACATTAACTATGCTCTTTGATATGGATACACCTTCTTTGTCCTCTGGATCCACTTGTTGGTAAACACAGCCATGAGATTCATCATCCTGTGCAGTGATTGTTCTGACAATATGCTGTAGTTTATACTTTGCCTTGTGCCTATCTTGGACCCTACTAGACATCAATATAGCTGCTCCACCCATTCTGAATAGGCAATTAGATAGCAGCATAGAAGGGATTTTACCAGTGTACCAATTCAGACTCAGCGTCTCTGTGCTTACTATTAAAGCTAGTGAGTTCTTGTGAACTCTCAACAAGTCTTTAGCTAGACTCATTGAAATGATTCCAGCACTGCATCCCATACCAGATAGGTTGAAACTCATGATGTTGCTCCTCATTCTGAACCTGTTAACCACCATGGCACTGAGAGACGGGGTGGGGCAGAAGACACTGCTATTAGTGATGAGTATGTCAATAGTTTTAGGGTTTATCTTGTTCTTCTCAAACAGGTTTTTTATCACTGAACACATGATTGTCTCGGCCTCCTCAAGGGCAAAGGAGAGAGCTTTGATTTTGGGTATCTGTGCAAGAGATGGAGAAATGGACGTTAGCTCACTGAATCCTGATTTGGCCATGATCTTGCATTGGAAAGCAACAGCCTCTGGGTCCATGTCATCATAAAATTGATTCTCTTCAAACATGGCCAGCGGTAGCCTATAAGAACTGGGTGGACAGTAGCAGTTGAAGTCTATCAAATAAATTGGTGTTTTTCTTCTGCATGCAGCGTAGAGGGTTGCAACACACGCAACCAAAAGCACTGCAAGACAATGACAAGGTGAGATAATAAGCTCAGTGACAGTGTTCATATGTTGTGTCAATATTTCCAATGAGCAACACAAACTGTGAGGTTCCATTTTCTTAGATTTGTTTTAGGCGTATGAGATTGATCTTTGTGATGTGATGATTATATGGAGTTATGAGATATTATGATTGTGGATGATGGTTTGGCATGAAAAGAGAGAGTCCAGTGGAAAAGGAAAATGTGGATGGAGCTTAGCATGCCATTCTTTCAGTGCTTTCATAAATAATGGCGTTGTGTCCGGTAAAATCATGTCATGCAAGTTGTTGTCCATTTTTATTCCCTTAAAAAGAAACATAGTCTTGTTGAATGACTTTCTAGTTAATCTAATTTTTTAATGGTATATTGGGATACAAAGAAAGAGACTATAGAAAGGCGAAAACATGAATAATTGTTACTTAAGGTGAAAATTAAAGGAAATTCCTTTTATCTGTTTTTTAATTGAAATTTGACTTATTTTTTGTTTTCCTTAACTTTCTTAACTTGAAGCCAAACAAAGTACTAGGGTGGGATTGATGAAAGCTACATAAAAAAATATTATGATGTCCAATTTTTGTATTAAAAAACATTTTTTCATTATTTAGAGAATCATCAACCTATAGTGATAACCTTACCTCTTTTTTTTTTTTTCCTGAATCAACATACAATAATTCAATAAGTTACTTAGCTACATGCCTATCTTACCAACCAATAAAAAATAATTTACAAAGACTCTTTGTAAATTATAAGTACACACTAATCATTTACCAACAATTAATAAAATTCCATGATACACTTAAAACTTTGCTAAGAATGTATTATGTACTCATAAAAAAATGAGTGTGAATTTGTCTTAATTAGCACATCCTTCACCACAACAACTTTGACTAAAATATTTGAGAGAAATGCTAACAACACTATCTTTCGAACCTGCTATTGATTAAACTTTATCTGAAATTACAAATTTTGCATGGGTTTCACTTCATATTTAATAATTATTTCTCCCAATGTATAGTTTTTAATGTTTGTATGTATTTTTAATACTCTCAATATTTAAGATTTCCTTTATTTCACAAGAGGGTTGGGATGCAATACAAGGAAAAGAAAAGTCTCAAGTTCTTTTATAAAAAGAACAAAATATGATTACCATTATTTATATAATTTTTTTCTTAATTAGGATATTTATGTGATTTTATACACTTTTATTTTTCTTTTCAGTTGTATAGAATAGAACTAAACTAAAAGAAAGAATATTTTCTATTTCTTTATTTCTTGTACTAAACCTAACATATACAACTCTTAAACGTATTGGTACTGTCCAAAAGATAATACTCATGTGAGTCAAAATCCAGAGGGATGAACAAGATGGAAGTAATGAGAATCGGTAAAACTTACAGTGAGAGGTTGGTAATGCTGCCACCTTAGGGTTTAGGGTTTAGTTGACATAATCATCGGACTATGTGGTTTCTTTTATATTAGGGTTTAGGGTTTTTGAGACTTTTGAGATTGATTGTCCTACCTTTACTAAGCAAAGTGAATGGCACAGATTTTTCATCTTAAGAGATAGTTGATTCGACTTACATGAAGAGTAATCATAGTTTATTTTACAGAAGCCCTTATGAAGCTAATAAAAACAAAAAATTATTTCTTCAAAATAAAGTAAACAAAACACATACTTCTCTTTGTACGCAGCCTCAAATCTAAGGGTAATTTCATGAATTGGATACATCAGTAAAACAGGTTATTACAGATGATCAAAACCAATAGGAGAGTCAACCAGTCCAATTAGTGCATTCTAATCTCAAAAGTGGCCAAATTTTTACAGACAGAACCAAACAAAACCTTTCAAAATTATTAGCTTATGCAGCACAATAACATTTGATACCATGATAGTACAAGAAATCTCAATATCCAGCGTGGGCAATAAAAGTTGAATGTTTCCGTAAGAGGTTGATGAACCTAATGCCTAACAGATCATTAATTTGACGTTGGCTAGCTCCATTTGATGCAACAAGCCCTACTTCTGTTGTTGGCCAGATGATCAGAACAAATGCCATTTATTATAGTGAAAGTAAAAGGAACAAAGGGAAAATAAAAAATGATTGACGCTGTCATCACAATATAACTAGTTATGCAATTTTAAATATTATTCCTTTTTCTACTAATTGGTCACTAGAAGGTCAAAAGTGAATCGAGAAGGACACAACAGCTATCACTGGGAATCCAGAAGAAGGTATGAGGGAGCAGCTCGACCAAAAAGGAGAAGAGGATTTCCACCACCAGTTACCCCGATGTACCTTGAATCTTAAGAACGTGCGATTAAGAGCTATGCCACCTGTCTTAGGCATTTCACCGAGACTTAAAAGTCCGTGGCAACTTAGAATAACTGTGACTCAAAAATTATGTCCAAAATGTTTTTTTTTTCAGAGCTAACAGGTATGCTAAAAAGATGTAAGTCGATAATATTTTGGTGTTTGTACTTTGTGGAGAGATATGATATTACTTTGGTGCATAAGGTCCACCTTTCTCACACATCTTAGACACTTTCTTCTAAATCAGTACGATCATATGTTGATGGTCACTCAACCATGCAACCAAGAATTAACTCTACCAGTAGTCTCTGCAAGAGCACATACCACCTTCGAATTGGTGAAAACGAATTCGATCCCTCACAATTATCTCTCGGTTTAATATTTTTGATATGATTTTAATCCAGTTGTGACAGTCAAGACAGATTCGCAAGTTTTTAGAAATCCTGATTTTGGTTCCAGGGCTACTTTTCAGGACCCCATAGGCCAAGGCTAACTTCTCGCTGTGAAATGCTAAATTCTCCTCCTTTTCCTCTTCAGACACGTCCATCAAAACCAGATCCGTCAAGGGTGTGAATCCCTCCAACTTAGCTCTTTGGACCAAACCTTCCAGCACTCGGTATATTGATTTCATTTCTGCATGTGAATGATTAGCTGCATTGAATATGTGAATGCTGTCCCCTAATTCAATCCAACTTTTACCACGGTTTTTCCGAATCCCTCCCATTTTCATCCTCTGCCTCACCCTCTCAGCACTATCCCAGTTCTTTAAAGAGCAATACATATTTGACAACAGCACAAAGTCTCCACTCTCTAGGCGAGATATATTTGCAATCGCAACTTCACCAAGTTCTTTCTTTCTGTGTATTCTACAAGCACTCAAAAGTGCTCTCCATATAACAACATCAGGCTCCATAGGCATCGCCTTAATGAGAGCATAGGCTTCTTCCATTAGCCCTGCTCGTCCCAGTAGATCAACCATGGTTCCATAATGCTCCAGCTCTGGCTGAATCATGAAACGATTCTGCATCATATCAAAATACTCCCGACCTTCTTCAACCAATCCACAATGGCTACAAGCAGTCAGAATCCCAATAAAAGTAACAGAATCTGGCAGAACACTCTCTATCTCCATCCTTGAAAAAAGCAGAGTCACATCCATTACAAGTCCGTGAATTGCCAACCCAGTAATCATAGCATTCCAAACAGACACATGATCACGAACAACCTCCTCAAAAACCTGTCTTGAAACATCAATCCTACCACATTTAGCATACATGTCAATCAAAGCAGCACTCAATATATAATTCAGCTCAACCCTCTTCTCAACCATCAAACGATGCACCCACTCGGCATTGCAAAGAGCCCCAAGGCGTGCACATGCAGTTAACACAGCAGCAAAGGTGAACCCATCAGGCTCAACCTTGCAACCCAGCATCCTCCGGAAAAGGTTCAACGCATCCAAAAAGCGCGAGTTTTTGACGTAACCTCCAACCATGGTGTTCCAAGTGACTACATCTCTGACAGGCATTTTGACAAACACCTTCTTGGCAACATCACATTGTCCCCCTTTCATCAAACTGTCAATCACCAGATTCCTGCTGAAGAGGTCCAAAACCTTGGAGAAAACGCGAAGACCAATCTGGGGTTGGTGGCAACGAGCATAGGTTGATATGAGAGATGACACAAGAGAAGGGTAAGTGGCAAGGCCAAGTACAACAACTCTCGAATGGGTTTTAGTGGCAGTTTTTAAATCCATAGAACCTCTGCAGCTTTGGAGAACTCGGTGGAGTACTTCGGGATCTGGAAAAAAGAAAAAAATTAAATGAAGGGTTTTGTAGTGTAAAAAATGCGATTTTGACAGTGCCCTTCAACTTGAAAGTGTGAAATGATAATAGCAGAGTGTGTGGGTACCTGTGGCTGTGACTGAACTGTGAAATGTTGATGATGAAGATGATGAGAGGGAATGAAAGGAAGAATGAACATTGTTCCATGATTTACCAAAACAACCAAACTTGTTACTTCTATGTCGACAACTTATCATCTTTGCATTTCATTCATCATCCATGATTTAAGAACTTTTTTTGTCTTTTGAATGAACGGGTGTATTCTTGGGAGAAAATTAAGGATTAATGTCTTAGAACATCACATTGGTTTGACACTGCAAACAGTCTCACTATGAAATTATTGAAATTGGAACAACTGAAACTAATTAAATCCACCAAATTAATAGGTTTCTTTTAAAAATAAATTTTAATCAATGATAAATAAAAAAAGTGTGTAGATTTTTTTTGAGTCTTTTTTTTATTCTAAGATTGCAATTTTGTTTGTAAATTATCGAATGGACAACTTCCTCAAATTTTTAGAACATAGACCATTCGTGTTTGCATGACATTACTCGTATATATAGGCATGACATGACTTCAGGCTAAAGAGTGTGTTCTTTCTATAAGACTTTTGGATGAAAGAAAGAACTAAATATAATTTTGATTATTTTTTTTATTTGAATTAAAGTAGCGTTAAAGTGACAATTTTAGTATAGTTTGATTTAAATTGATGTAGTATTGCACATATTAAAAAAAAATCAAAGTTATGTTTGATTCACATAACTTTTCTTTTTACCTACAAATAGTATAAAACTAACCCGATTTTCTTTTTAGAAATTCAAAGTCTTCCTAGTGAAATTGTGTAATGCATGATTTACTAATATTTATAAAGTTTTTAAAAGTTGTCCATTTTAATAATTTATAAAAAAATTACACGAAAGTAAAATCCATTTTTTCTCATTGTGTGTATAGTATATATTAATAATAGAAAAACAATTTATTTTAGTTATTATTCAAGTAGTTTTGTTATTTGCTTGATTGTTTTATAAATTTTATAAAAAAAATTATTTGAGGGGAAATGCACAGAAAGAATGGATTTTTTAGGATATATGGAAGAGAGTATTGACTTCAATTAATTTTTACTTTTAACTTTTTTTTTAGTGTATTCTACTTGAACGAATTATTTGTTAAAGATATTTATGTTTAAGTTAGTTCATTGTCCAAATAGTTTAGTAATTAATGTTATAATAAATGTATCGCAAAAGTTTCAACCACTATATTTTTAATTTGTATTCATACATCTAATTAAGTCAGTCTCTTATTAAGCTTATTTATATTCTTTTAGTTTTATGTTATGATTTTCGATTAGGTTTTTATTATGACTTTGTATTAGGTTTTCTATCATATTTTTTCTTACTTGTATTTTTCATTTATATTCAATCATAATTCACTTTTTAAAATAACTTTGTTCTCGTACTTTTAATAAAAAAAATTCTCTTTAATTTTTCTCTCACTTGTGTTTTCTCAAATACTCACATAGTATCAAATTATACACCTTCCATAGTTCTCATACTTACAATATAAATATTTCTTTTTAAGTTTTCTCTCATTTGTGTTTTTTCAAACATTCACATGGTATCAAAATTAAACACCTTCTCCCTTTACCTTCTCTTTACAATTTCACCCATGATGTGTTCTATTTCTTCTGATCACCTTACAAATCAAGTCGATTTTGTAGGCTTGAGTTCTGCTAATATGATTGACACTGTTATTGATCTTTCTACTTTGAAAAATGACAAAACTGATGCCCTCTTTGGTTTCTCTAAAAAGCAATATGAAGATATATTCTTATCTTGTTACAAAAGTCACAAAATGTTTATTCTTCTACCACTATTAATCTTCTGATCAATACTTTCAAAAAATTGAAAAAGTTGAAAAAAACATCTAAATTTCTCAACTTTCTTGTTTATCAAATTTCTCGATTTCTCAAGTATCTAACAAAAGAACTTTTTACCCGTCTCATAATCCTTTCAAAAACGAATAGTTTCAAGTTGGACCTGTTAGAATTCTAAATGTGAGTCTAAGTTCCACATCGAGTGAAAAAATGAGAAAGTAAAACATTTTTAAAGTGTCTTTCAACTATCTCAATATTCACTTTACTTCTCCCTTGATAAACCCAACATCAAAAGTCTTCTTGATAAGAGTTTTAGGTAAATGTGTTCAGCTAAGATTAACAACATTATTTCCTCAATAAAAATCCTCTTCTTTAAATTTAATAGGACCTCCATATTTATCGATCATTCACTCAAAATCTTTTATTCAAAGTGTGAGATTTGAGTGATTTTAGAGAAGTGAAATATACTTGAATATAAAAAGAAAACACAATTAGAAAAAATAAATAAATAAAGTGAAAAAGTACAAATTAAATCACCCTGTGCAATTATTCACATGCTCAAAGTGGAAAGTCAACATAGCACTATTTTAAAAGTTAATTTGGAGATGAAAATACTACCAAAAGTGATATTTTATATAGTGCTTTGTGAAAGGATCGCAATAGATTGCAGGGGCTAGTGAAAATTCTGCAAGGAAACATGGTAGCTATGAAAGAGTATTTAGCAAAGAAACTAGTGTAAGAAAGGTGATTGAACAAGTTATATATACAGAAAGGCAAAAAATAATCTCAAAAACAGTTCAAATGTATTTAAGTTTCTGATGCACAAATACATGTAATTGGATAATTCATATTATGTATGTTTAAAGGTCAAAATGTTTTGTAATGATGGTTTAATGTTATATCTCAAATATTTTGTAGTAGCCAGTTTATGAGTTGGATAAATAACTAAGTATTTTTAGAAGAAATAATTTTAAAATAATTAATTGGTTAAAACAAATAAGATTTTCTCATCAAAATAAGTAGGAATTGGTTATTTTTAAAACAAAAACGTAAAAAAAATAAAAATATAATGATTTGATTAAATAAACTCTTTTTTTAAATAAATGAACACAACATAATCAATCTGTTTTTTTACTCTTCCTTAACACTATTGTTTGTGCTTAGATTATGATATTCATTATGTTTAGGATTCACATTTAATAATTCAACATAATTTACGTTTTTGTTTTTTTATTTAATCCATGACTTTCGGTTGAATATTTAGAAAGTACAAGATTATGTTTAAAGTCCTTTAAACAAGAATCTACACACACGTTATCTATATATAGATATCCATCATCAACTTATTTTTATAAATGATAATTATTTTTCTTTCAAAGTTTGTGTGTGAAACGATGTCTTTCTTTTTTGTGAAATCATGACTTTAGTGCCACTTTCATGATTAAGAGACCGAAACAATATCTTTTATTACATTAATGTGAGCTTATATTAATGGTGTTAGGGTTGATTTATAAATATTTTAACTTTGTTAATGAATATCGTAAGAGAGATTTTAGGATTGTTAGTATGTTTCTATAAAAACTAATTATCGATGAAGCGGGGAATTTTTTTTTAGAATTTAAATTCGTTTTTTTTTCAAATAGTATATTTTAAAATCTTAAGTTAAAACCTTGACTTTATGAAATTAAAATACATTGTTTGTTATAAGCTGAAATATTAATCTTTTTCTGTATTTTCTAAAAGTTTTCCTCATTTTTTATGATAATATTTATTTAATTTAACAAAACATTCATTATTAATGATATTAACATCTATTATTTTGTTTAGTAATTTTTTATGAGTTTATAAAAGTCTAAAAGCTTCCATAAAATACACCTAAATAGTAGTTAAAATGTAGGAAAAATGATGAGTAGAGTAGAGAGAGTATAGTAGTGTAATTTTACTCAGTCTCCACTGGAAAAAGTAATGATATGATATGGACGGTGGAAACAAAAGGTATGTGATATGAGATAATGCGAATCATGATTACATATCAAATTTTCAACTATTTTTCTTTAAATATCACACACACTTTCCACTAACCAGTTACTTCTTTTATCACAAACTCAAAACATTCTTTCTTTTTTCTCTCTACCACGTCATTGTCTTTAAATAGAATTAATATAGTTGACATTTACCCACAAAAGAGTATATATATATATATATATATATATATATATATATATATATATATATAAAAGTAATGATTTCAAAATGAATTTAAATATCTAGAGTTAATTTGGAGTTGAAGTTAAATTGCTTTAAAAAATAGTGTTTTTAATATTTTATTAAACTTATGAACTCGTCTCATTTAAACTGTAAATTAAATATATTTAAGTTTGAAGGTGAGTTTATTATTATCCCATCAATAATAATTTTTTATAACTTTTTTATTATAATTATTTATTATTTCTAATGATAATTTATTTTTTTAAAATACTAAAATGTTATTCAATAATATTTAAACAATTTATATATTTAATTTATTTGTTTATCTAATTATGTAGTTCACATTATAATTTTTAATTAATATCTTTGTAATAATACTTGGTAAATAGATTAATACTTGATTATACTACTATACAAAAGTGAGTAGAATCAATTCACTTTGAATGTACTATAATATATTTATAAAATAATTTTGAAATATAAAATATTATTAAGTGAATTAAACCATTAACTCACTCATAACTGATTAATCAAATAAAATTATTAAATTTTCAACTCACTAAAAAGTGGTCTAAATTAAATTATTTTTAAAACTTAATAAGTGAAACTCATCTAAATAGGATTCACTCACCTCAACATTCTTATCGATAAGTCTTCATGTTCGAATTTAGAGTATATTTTCATTCTTACTCGTATGAAAATTAAATATTTATTTATAACAGTATATATCTAATTTATTTTATTATAAATGCACACTAGTATTAAAAAATATTTAATCAGTTTTCTATTATATATTCATTATAAATGTCATTTTAAATACTTAATAACTTGACGAGAATTAGATGTTGTAACTATATTTTTCTTGGTTCCTTCAATTCAGTTGGAATATCAAAGAATTTTACAAATTTGATAAAAAAAAAAAAGGTTTCATTGCTTTCACATTTCATCCCACAATGTCCACCTTAGTGTAAATACAGAAAGAATAAAACTCGAGAACTCTAAAAAGAACACGTTCATAGCTATGTAGGTTTTCACACGATCGAATACGCAAATTCCAAATTGGTGAGAGGTAATAATGTTGAATAACGTAACATGACACTTCACTATAGTATAAATTCTTCATCTACACATGCAAGACAACCTAAGATTACCTAACAACATCATGGGTTTGAAACATTCTATCATGTTTCTTCTGATTGCTGCAATGGCTATTCCACAAACCAAAGCTCAGTTAGGGTTTCTCAGTGGTCTTCTTGGTTCCGTAAGTAACATTCAAGGGACTGTGTTTTGCACTTCCAAGGATAATGTGTCTGTCAAAGCTCCTTCAAACCCTGTTTTTCCAGGTAAGCCCACAAATTATTTATTCATATATATGCAAATTTTTCTTAACTAATGTATTCTTTATATGTAATCTTTTGTTGTTAAAATAATTTATTTCGTTTTCTTTTTGCAAAAAACGTTATGTTTATAATAAAAAAAATATTTGAAAAAGATATATGTAGTTTTATTATAAAAGCATTTACTATATGTATTCCACAAATGAAAATAGTATTAGTAGGTTAATTATAAAAATGCATGTAAAGAAGTTCAACTATCCAAGTCAACTCCATTTGAAAGGGACATATTTAGTATATACAATGCACAGTGTTAGAAAATGTGATATAATGAAAGAGAAATAATACTTTGATACATTCAAATTCTTTATATTCATTTGATATTCATTTAAAAAATATAAAAATTTATTTATTTTTATAATAATTTATGTATCGTATTAATATAAATGTGTCATTTTATCATATTTTATCATAGTGAAAATAAAGTATGGAATGTTTCAGATGCTGAAGTGCAACTAGTTTGTGGAGAAAAGGAGTTTTCAAAAGCTACAACTAATGCTGATGGAAAGTTTTCTATTACGATGGATCCATTGCTGTTAGATATTTCTTCATTGCTGAATGGTTGCAACTTAGTGGTTGACACTCCTCTCTCCAATTGCAACACAAAGCTTCCTTCTTCAGGGACACTCATTTCAAACCTAAGCATTGTTGCAACTCCAACTATTGCTAAGATTATTCCCTCCGGATTTCACTATGTGCCCTCCACTTAATAATTATGACTAAATTATTAAATGTATACCATGACAATTAAGTACTTTTAATTAAATAAAGTCATGTTATGTCTCATTAATTTCTTCTTCTTTTTCTTTTTCTTTTTTTATAAATAAATATAAGTTTAAATTGTTTCTTAATAATAAATAAAGAGGTTTAATAGGTTTTATTAAACTATTTTATAATAAACGCTACAAACGGGGTTTCACAGCCACGGTGTGTTTGCATCCGCTGTTCCCGTGTACCTTTCAACACACACGCTTCCGTTTGCAATATATATTTACTTTAATATATCTTTTTTTTAACACATTTTATTTCTTTATACATCTTTTTTTATTTTATGTAGAAAAAAAATTGTACATGTTCCAAATAAACGTCAAAACTCGTCCTAATATTTAAATCTTTTAAATAATATTCTATATTTAAATAAAACAACGTAAATTATATATTAAATTTAAAATTAATATACACATTAATTAATATATTAATAATAAACGTTGGCTAAGAAATAAAATTATGGACAAAAAAAATAACATTATCACCTTTGTTTCTGTCTGTATGCATAAAGATAATTTTATTTTCTTAATTATAAATAAAAATGAATGTACTATCTACTGTTAAATATTTTACTCTTTTAAAATATGAAAGACGAAGCAAACTCATATATAAAGAGGTGCCAAACAAACCCTAACGTGTGTTGCGCCTCCATACAGAGAAAGAGTTGATAGGTGGTAGCTGCTGCGGAAGCGTTCTGCGCCCAACACCTTTCGCAGCAGCAATAATCCAACCCTTAAAATGGCACAATCTATCTCACAAGCCAAACGCGCCCTTGCCTTTGCCGTTAACCGGTTTGTTCCACCCACATGCAAGAAAAAAAAAAACCGTTGCTGTTTCTTGCATGTCCCCATGTTTTTCTCATTTTAAATTTGCAATACATATTTTATCATATGAAATAAAAATAGTAATTCAGCACGTAAGTTAATCAATTTCTTTTTTTTATATTTATTATTTATTATGGTGTTATGTTCACTGGTACAGGCGAGGGTACGCAGTGGCGTCTGGTGTTGCTTCTTCGTCCTCGGTGAGAGGAGGTATGAGCGGAATAGAAAAGGGTGTGGCAAAGAATGGTTCAGGCCCATCGGGGGCCTCATCGGCTTGGGCCCCAGACCCAGTGACGGGATACTACAGGCCCGTCAATCACAGGGATGAGATTGACCCGGTGGAGCTCCGAAAGATGCTGTTGAACCACAAAAGCAAATCATCGTAGAGAGAGGGAACACAAACATAACACAACACAAACCTCGTTTCAATCAAATCTTGTGTTGTGTGGTTTTATCTATGTCTGGAATCTTCTTTTTATCCTTTTCATGCATCATGAACAAATAAACAAAGTAGATTTGGTTTTTGTTTGGCTTTTACAATTATAAACATTATCGTTTCTGTCTGTGTTTATTTTTTGTTACTTGCTTTCAAGTTATTAAGAGATCTATATTCTTTTAATTTTTTTTATGTCATTTTTGAATTATATTCATACTTTACAACCTTATATATGTTCTTTATTTGAAAAATAACTATTGTATACAGTTTTTTAGCTATTCTTACAGGAGTATATATTGTTTAAAATTGTAATATTTAAATAGAATGAAAGTATGAATATAAAAATCTGATTGTCTTTCTTTAACAACAATGATAAACAATTTAGACAATTCACCTGACGATAACTTATAAGATTAATTACTAGTTTTGACGGACAAAAAACTTAAGTTATTATATTTTTAAAAATTAAAAAACACAACGTGACTTCTAATGAATTATAATATTGTGGAGTGAGGTTAGAGAAACTAATATTACAAGAAAGTTATTCAATAGTAATTAATTTTGTCAATCAAAATAATTAATGGTTATATTTATTAAGTTACATATCATTTTATAAATTAAAAATTATTGATAGTTTTTATTATGAATAAAAAATTATAATTAATATGTGAATTAAAATCTAAATTGAATTTTAAAATTAAATATTACTTAATATTATTTTTTTATCAGTAAAAAAATATAATAGATATGATATAATACTTATGGGATATTCTAATATAGATGTGGCCCTCTCCATAAGAGAAATATATACATAATTAAGAATGCAGGGATGCAAAGGCCCAAAAACAAAAAAAGAAAAAGTTGTTTATTATTATTGATTTTAAATTAAGTATTTAATTTAAAATTATAGATTAATTTAGATATTATTACCTTAATAGTTAATATAAGACATTAATTTAGACACTAATCAACTATAATTTTTTTATTTGAAGATTATATTAAATATCAATAATTTTTAATTTAAAACGTATATCTAAATTATTAAATACGGTGGTTAATTATTTTTATCTCTAAAATTGGTAATTATTTAATTATTTTTTTAATGTAAATTAAATAAAGTTGATAAATAAATAGTAAGAAAAAATATAACTGAACTTTCTTATTTAAATAAAATTATTGTACATTTTTGTTGCTGTATATTAAAATAATATATTTGAAGTAAACATATTATTTTATTTAAAACCTGGAAACATCAGTTATGTTAAAAAATTAACAGTTAAAATTACAGTTATTTTAAAAAAATTGTATGAAACAAAACTAAAATTCTCATAAAGCATCGAAAGATTAGTACTATAGTGGAACAGTATGCAAATTTTGGGATAATCTTTTGGGCTTATATTAGTTTGTTAGTACCGTGAAATTTAACCACTGATTGCAATAATATAATAATTGTTGCAATTATTAGAATGTAATGTAATATGAAAAACTCAATTGAATTAGTCCAAAACTTTCATGGCTATTATTAGTCTTGAAATTTTGTAGAGACAAAAGGTTTATCTTAACTATAAAATTAAAGATACAGAAAAGAAAAACTATTTATTTTGTATTTAGTCTATTAAAATTAATATATATATATATATATATATATATATATATATATAATACTTTTTATAGATATCATTAAGTGTAATTGACTATTCATTTCTAATTTGATGTTACAAATTTCTATCAATTTTTATTGTATGACACTTTTATTTATATGATCTAATGTATCAACAGAATCTAAAATATTATAAATTTTTCTAACTCTATAATAAAATTATCCATCCTTATACTTCTTGTATATGAAGCATTATATTCTTTCAATAATATCACTTTTGTCATTATTATCCTATTTTGTACACATTAAATTTTATGTATTATTCCTCAAATCAACTTATTTCACAATTATAAATAATGGATAAAAAAAATTAGTCAATTATAATTCTTTCTCAAAAAAATATTGGACAAATATATTCATAATATACTATATTGATATACGGATAAAACGAGTACAACAACAATGTTGAACGAGTTTATTGAATAAAAGAGTCTTACATTAATCTATTCAATCATTAATTTATATTTTTAATTGTGAATTCTATATATTTCTTTCATACTCTTTATACTTTTAGAGAATCTATTATATTTTTTTCACGTATTTTATTTTTTATATTTTAAAAAATTTACTATTTATGTAATATATTGACTTTTTAAACTTATAAATTATTTTTAAAATTAATTTTATTTAAAACTTAATTAGAGACTTAAAGATATTTATTATTATTTTCTTAATTTTTAAAATTAGTTTACTAGACTATATCACTGTTATAGGTAGATGTTAACGCCATTTAATATAATACGAAAAGATGCAAAAGTTATATTCGTTTAATATTATAATCAGTAATTAACGTAAACCTAAAAGATGAGTAATTGGATTATAATCTTTTATGCAACTGATTTCACCCGTACATTCAAAATTTTCATCTAATTTTAAGCATGCATTACCATTCACGGTGAAATTAAGGTTGATAATGTATTTCCAATAAAAGAACTCTAACTGCATTTGTGTCCTTATCAAATGCTTTGAGGAAGAAAATACATGCTATATGATTTGCAACATAAGGTCCAATATTTTTACTTTGCTATTTATGTAAATAAATATATTATATAGTCTATTGAAAATTAAAAAAAAAAGGACCTAGAAAGTACAAACAATATAATTTGAAAAGTTGCGTTCTATTTCTGAGCCCAATTTCCCAAGGACAGAGAAATGATATAGCAAGAAAAAAGTACTGGGCCCAATGGGCCCACACACTACATGTTCTAAATAGTAAAGAGTGTTTCATCTTACACTTTCAACATATTATCTGCATCTCCAAAAATTCTATTTTTAAGCTTTTGACATCTGCACCTTCAACTTTTCTAAAAATTTTATTTTTAATAAATATATTTTTATTTTTTTTCTTTGTTATTAAAGACATTTTAATAAATATTTTTTTTACTTTTTATTTTATTAAAATCACACTCTACACCACCATAATAATAATTTAATTTAATTTAAAATTTAAATATTATTAAATATAATTTTATATTTTAATAATTATTAAAATATGATTTATATTATAATAATAGTTATATTAAAAAAATAAAAAAAAATTAAAATAATAACAATAATAAAAATTAAAAATAAAAAAATGAAATAATAATAATAATAATAATATAAAATTTGATTTGATATGTTAATATATATTAAAGTATATTAAAATATTAAAATAAATTAAACAATTATTAAATTTTAAATAGAAACAAAAAATTTAAATATGCTAACAGTTTTTTTATTTAAAATTTAATAAATATTTAATTTAATTGAAAATTATAATATTATTTATTATATTTTAATATTTTAATAATTATTAAAATATAATATATATTTTATAATAGTTTTATTAAAATTACTAAAAGTAATAATAATAATAATAATAATAATAATATTTAAAATCACATTTTATATATTTAAATATGTTAAATTATATTAAATTATTAAATTAAATTAAATAATTATTAAAATTAAATAAGAAACAACATTTAAAAGAAAATATCCATATTCAATTCATATATTATCGGATTTTTATATCTGATTAACAAATTTTAAATTAAAATAATATATTAATTTTTATATCTGATTATTATTTAAAATATATTTATTAATAAATAAA